AACATACAGAAAGGTGTCATGAAAATATTTTGGTTTATTTTGATCCTCTCACCTAACAGCACCTCTCTGCTCGCCATCATTTCTCCACTCAGTGATGCGTCTCTTGTGTTTTCTGTTATGGAATCTTTCCCAGCAGCTCTCACTCTTTCCTGCGATCTAAACCTTGAGCCTGGATTAGATAAACAGAAGTGCAAACGCAGCACTTAAATATGCATCGCAAACAGCCAGGAGTTGTTTGGTTTTTTTTCCGTGTCTGTTTACCGTTCTCTTCTGCTTTTGTTTTGCAACATCAGCTGATTAGCTCCCGCTTGCTGAAACCTCTGAGACAATCAGAAGAGCATTTTAACACTTTTTCTTAAGATACTGTGGTGTTAACTTAGCCTCTTTAGATCAAGATGAGTGACTGTCAGTAAAACCTCAGATCCACACGTTTCACCTCACTTTGCTCTGCTTTGGTTTATATGAGCTGGTTTAACTATTTAGAGTTTTAGTTTCATGTCATTTCACTAAACTGCAGGGTGAGGTTAAGGTTAATTACCAATAATAAAACTGTCTACTATAGAATAAAGCAAATGTCTCTTTATTTAGGTATCAAAATGTAAAACAGAAGTAAATTCATTGTATGCATCCTGCCATGTTTTAGGAACCATGTTTTATAGATGTTTGTTTTCTGCGCAGCATCAACACGGTTTGTCAAATGCGAGAAGTGTCATCACTTTTTCGTGGTCTTATCTGAAACGGACTCTAAAAAAGGGCTAAACAAAGAGCCGGAATCGGCCGCCGAGGCAGTGAAGCTGGCGTTTGCACAGAAACCTCCTCCTCCTCCCAAGAAGGTTAGAAAAGAAACATGCTAATCCGACTCTGGAAATCCTTCATTTATTTATTTATTTTTTTAAAGCCACCATTTTAAATCTTCTTGTAGATTTATGCCTATCTGGATAAGTATGTTGTCGGCCAGTCGTATGCGAAGAAGGTCTTGGCTGTGGCGGTGTACAATCACTACAAGCGCATCTACAACAACATCCCTGCAGGGAGCCGACAGCAGGTGGAGGCGGAGAAACAGCCGTCTTTAACACCACGAGGTCAGAGGTCATCTTTTCTACACACAGTGACATCATCTTTAAAATATCCTTATCTGTCAAATATTATTAGTATATTTTGTTTGTTACAGTTC